TTATATATATATATATATATATATATATATATATATAGCAACATGCTACAAACCCACACAAAGTATTGGATCATGCTAAAGTAATTATGTTGGATTTATATCTATGTTATTAAAACGGCACTGCATGTCAAATTGGTGGAGACATTGTTTTGGTTGGACCATTCGAATGGGACTGTTCTCACCATTTAGGTTGGTCAAAATTTTAAAAGTTCTCGAAACCCAGGAAGCGTACAAATAAATGAAAAATGATAAAAATAGAAAAAACTGAATAAAATCTATAAAAATATAAAAATGTAGAAAATTATTAGGAACCATAAAAAAGTAGACATCAAGATGAGAAGCCAAAATAACAAAATATATAAATTTAACACAACTCATGATGCACTCCAATAAGGCAATTGCATCAAGTAATAACCTTATAGACAATGAAATTGAATGGTATCAATCAACTAAGTGGATCTCATCAAATGGTTATGATCATACTTAATTATCTACAGAAGGCTCCATACTTGACATAGTCCCACTCTCAATCTCATAAATAGTTGAAGACAATAAAGTCATAAACCATGAATCACTGAAGGCACAAAGAAACTAGTCCGCAACTTTGCATCCCACAGTTAGATTATGACATAATTGATTACATATACATAAATGCTAAAAGAAATATATCCAAGTCATATGTAATCGATAAATTTTTGTCATCTTCATCTTCATTTTGATTTGATTTGGTGGGTGTTGGAAAAAAAATGATTCTTCAAATATTACATTGACTTGGTGAGAGATATGTACAAGGGAGGGCTAACTAGAGTATAAACAACTAGTGGAGAGACGAGTGAGTTTCTGCTGACAATAGGTCTATATTAGGGGTCAACATTGAGCCCATACCTCTGCCTTAATTATGGATTACTTAACTAGGCACCTACAAGATGAGGTATCATGGGGCGTGTTGTTCGTGGACGACATAGTTTTAATCGCTGATACTTGAAACAACGTCAACACAAAGTTAGAACTTCGGAGGGATGCTCTAGACTATATAAAGATTTTAAAATTAGCCGCATTATGATAGTATTTAGAATGCAAGTTTAGTAATAATAGGAGTAGAGATGAGGAAGAAGTTAAGATGGACAGCCAAGAAATACCAAAAAGAGCGTACTTTTGATATCGTGGGGCGATAATTCAGGAAAATGAAGTGATTGAGGAAGATGTCACACATAAAATTAGAGCTGGCTGGGTGAAATGGAGATATGCAACCAGAGTTTTATATGAGCGCCGCATACCAATGAAACCGAAGGGAAACTTCTATAGGACAACTATGAGACCAGCTTTGCTTTATGAGGCAGAATGTTGGCGGTCAAGAAACAACATACTCATAGCATAAGTGTAGCTGAGATGAGGATGTTGAGATGGATAAGTGGCAAGACAAGGGATGAATACATTTAGATGAAAGAAAGTAGACTTCCATTGGCTGGCCATATGCGATGCAAACCTAGTACAAGACCTGTTTGGAGGTGCGAGTTAATTCAAATGGAAGACTAAAAAAGGGCAAGGGGTAGGCCCAAAAGGACATGATTGGAAGTAGTCAGAAAAGATATGGGGATTTATGGCCTC